TTGCTCATTTTGCTTCCGAGAAACATGCAAAACGGGACGGAAAACATGAAATTTTGCAATAATCTTACGCCACCCTTACACAAAACGACGATAATATTTCTAATCTCATAGAAAATATCTGTTTTCTTGTCTATAACGCACCTTTTTTTGGGCTGGTTGTTGCCAACCATAAGACAAAATTTAATGTGTTTTTCGGTGAAAAAACCCCCAGTCTCGTACAAACACCACACCTCATACACTGAACAATTAATAGCATTTTCCAGCTTTTTGGAGGAAAATTCCGACCAAATTCATAACAAAAAACCCCAATATTGTTCGTTTCATCTGTACCAAACTGGCTGTTTTAAGTACACTTATATTCCAGAACGTAGCCCGAATGATGAAAGTTCCAAAGCCCTTCGGATTTTTTTTTGGTAATGGTGCGTCTTAAATTAGTTTTTAGATATGGGGTTTGTGTAGGCCCGGTGGGTTTTATTAGCCTAGTAAATTAAATATGCGTAGAGGAAAACCCGAGGGCTTATTTGTGTCCTAAGTCTGGAAGAAGAAATAACGGTTATGAAACCGAGGAGAACAGGTCACAGACACAGAAAATATCCGAGGTAATGGCCGGTTGTAAATTGGGATTTTTTCCTCCGGTTCCGTTATGTTGCTCGTTAAAGAAATGGGAGCAGAAAAGTTGATGGAACATATTTTTGCAGTTGTTTGAGGCAAATTGAAAAGTGTTCAAAAAATGGGCTTGCTTACCGCATCAAACCTTCAGTCTGTTAACCGATAGTTTATTATAATTGAAACGGGAATTTCGCCGGTAATCCTGTTTGTAAATTTCATCGCGAATAACAAATGTCCAAATCCGAACGGAATTATTCCTCAGAGACTAATTAAATTTTGTTGTTTACAGCTTTATGATATTTCTGAAAACTTTCGGCCGACATCAATTACCAGCGAAATTAGCCAGTTACAATCATTCAAGTGTCCCGTGGAAGTTGGACTAATAACTTTTTCAAGGCTCCGCAACTTCTAAATAATTTACAAACTTGCCGATTTTGCCTCAGTTGAAGTATTTCCAACTTTATTAAAATATCTCGACTCGGAGCCATTTCGCGCCTGCCTTACACGTGCTGAAAACTTTTCAGCCCCCAAAAATCTATCGAGAGTTTGTTCGGGTTTTACACTGAAAGCGGCTCTTCTGATTATTATTCCTCGTTATCTAGTATTTTGGCAGCGCCTACTTAAACTCCACTTTTATCTTGGGGGAAAAACAGGGGCGTGCACCAATATGGTGGAAACTTTAAGGCCGGAAAAGTTTTCCTGGAAAAGTCCCCGATGACTTTCAGCTGAACTCATCCAGTACAAACACCAGAATCTCCAACCCGTGCAAGATTATATCAAATATTCGTCGAAGTAAAAGTGCGGAAATTAATTTTGTTCCGCTTGGGAAACCCGCCTGTATCCAGCACTGGATTGAATGGAAGTTTCCAGCAAAATCTGGATGGAAACGTGCTTCCGCGTTAGATTCAACGTAAACGCGCTCGAAAGTGCGTAGGACAGAATTCATCATCCGCTGGCTGCGAACAGGCTGACACTTTAAAGTTCCTAAGCCCATTGTTAAAATAACCGCATTTCTTGTGAATATTCAAACGGCGTTTTTAATGGACCATCTTACGCGAAGGATGGCGAACAAACAGTATGAATGGGCCAAGTTTTGAACCGCGAGCAGACGCTCTTAAGTAATTGCTCGACATGCCGTTTAATAATGGAATTAAACTTGTTTTATGATTTGTCGGACAATGGTTTCGACTTCTTGGCTATAGTTTTTAAGCGCGGAAATTCATTAATTTTCATTTACAATGCTCGTTCATGTTCGCCCAACAACACCACACTGCTACTTGAATGTATTCACAAGCTGATGATTAATTTAAACAATTCATTAACAGTTCTTTGCCATTGTGCGGCTGTAGCTCACTATTTGTTCCTATACTGGTAAAAAACAGTTGCAAACTTTGCAAATGTGATAAAGTTATAACACATACACAAAAATCAGACCACAAAGCTAAAATTTATAAAAAAATGGTTCATATAAAAACAGCCCACTGTAGAATGCCTGGTAATTTGATGTTGAACTAAATAAAATTCATTTAAAATTTTGTTCCAATTGACCCAAATTACGTTGTGATTCACAGTATTCATCACATATGAAATGAGTTCTTTGCAGAAATTCCCAGTTGTTAAGGCATAAAACCTAAACGAAATTTCCCAGAAATAAAACTTGAAGACCCGAATCTAGAAAGTCCCTCGCAAAGTAAACGTTACATTCAACAATGTAAAATATCATCCGATATGAGAGTGAAAACGATCTACATAAATGGCATAATTTCAAACTTACCAAAAGCCACATAGGGGCACCTGGAAAGAAAGAAAACAGTTCTTTAGTGCAAGAGACACTTTGACCAAAGTATTTGAAATCAGCAGAAGGAAAAGCCATAAAAGTTCGGTTGCTAAGCTGCTAGCAAAAAATTAAGCCACATGATTTATAGATAAAGATTCTTACTAGCGTTCCGCATGCTGGAAACCCCATCCTCTAGAAGCCCACGCTACACTTGAACACGCAATGAATATCCGAGCACAAGAACGCGCAGGATGATCTTCCACACTAGTGCCATCAAACCAATTCACTCTGTATATTCCGGCAAGACATAAAGGGACCAACCTATTTCATTCGCTGCCCGTAATAAACTGAATATTTTTTTGTAAAATGCATGCGATATTGCGATTTTATCGCATTTGGAAGGCACCGAGCTAGCATAATTACATAATCCTTTGCTTGAACGTCCCTTCCATGAGTCATTGTACCAAAGCTTTGCTGTTCGATTTCAATTTTTTTATTGTTGTGGATGTTTACAGCAATTCAAAATTAATTACTGGGTTTCAGTCATTTATTGTCTCTATTTATCAATTAAAATACGTTTCGGTGTGTAAAAAA